ACCTGAAAAGTTCGTGTCGAGCTATATTAGCCGCACGCTTGCACTGTAGGGATGGCCTGAAATCGTTCGTAATCATTACCCCTAGATCCTTTGCCTCAGAGACATGCTGCTGATGCGTCACACCTCTCGTGTCACCATTGGCTCTTGTGGTCAAGGGCTGACACTTACCTAGATTCAGTGGTAGATCCCACTTATCCGACCACCTTCGAACTGCATCTAGATCCTGCTCCAGTCCTTCCCGAGCTAACTTCACATCATCGGCGAACATGAAGCAAGGATTTTGGAGATCATTTGCAAGGTCTGCGAGCATGAAGCAAGGATTTTGGAGATCTTTCGCGAGGTCGTTAGTGAAGATCAAAAATAATAACGGACCAGACACCGATCCCTGTGGGATACCACTTGATATTCCCACAGGTTCGATTGTATAATTTCCAACACTCACACTGAATGTGCGACAGCTGAGAAATTGTCTAATCCATTCTCTTGCTTTTCCTGGGATCCCCACTGTCTGCACTTTTAGATCCAGAAGCTGAAGACTGACTGAGTCGAAAGCTTCGCTGAAATCTAGGTAGCAAACCTCTACTTGGCGACCTGCATCTATTCTTTTTGTAACTTCCTCTATAAATCTATTAGGTTAGTTAGGCACGACTTTTTCTCGATGAATCCATGCTGGGCTTGAATCAGAAGCCTATGCATCATCAGATAAGAACATATCTGTTTCCTAACTATCCGCTCGAGACAACTGCTTAGGACCGAGGTCAAACTTACCAGCCTGTAGTTGCAAACATGGTGTCTAGGGCCTGACCTGTGGATGGCCACTACGGTTGTCTTGAAGTCTTGAAGTATTTCACGGGTTCATGGCTAAGCCCAATGGTCTCGGATCTTGGTTTCTCGGTTTTTGATTGATGGGTAATGCCCGCAGACGAGAATTTGAGAGCACGGCCCGCTGGTGAGGGGGATTTAATGGGGATTCAGGTAATTGATGGAGGAACCTGAAAGGGAAGTGGGGAGGGAGGGGGTGCAGTATCTGCATGCACTGCACAAACATGCGCATCTGGATAGTGAACACATTTTTACATGCACGTAAGTAAATTTCACTTAATGCACGTCTAGAGATACAAAGGCAATTTATGACACTTCGAAAAGTTCAGTTCAGTTCAGTTTGAACAGGAGAGAAAATGGCCAAGGCCAATCGAACGTCCAGAATTCCTTCGGTGGTAGAACTGAACAGGACAGGGCAGGACAGGTCACAGGACTTGCGGCGGAGCCAGAAGCAGACCAGTTTCTTGCACCAATGAGCTTCGGAGCACCACGGCGCTGAGTGACAGTACACGTCTGAGGTTTTGTCAGGATCAAAGCAACAGCTCGCAACCAACCGCTCCGAGCATACCCAGAGTAAGAGGTTTGTTGGGAGAAGATACATGGCCTAAAAGTGGTGGTGCTGGATATTGCGAAGTTTCAGTAAAATGTGTTGCATAGTGAATAAAATTTGGAGCTAAGGGAGTTGAAGAAATCAAAGTGTAGTATGAAATACAGAGTGAAATGTAAGGAGGGGGACGGAGACGGACGAGCTATTAGCGACTTTAGGCCCGGTCCCAGATACAATCGGGGAGCACTGATGCCCAGGATGCGTCAAGCTTCAGCTTCAACTCGACAATGGTTTTTGACGCCACTGTAGTGACCACTCACATCCCATTCTCAGTGTACCTTTCCTCCTGTGCATCTCATTGTTTTATCACACCAAGGCCACCTCCTTGGTCAGCATGTGTTTACTTTCACTTTCCGCACGCTTGCTCATGACTCTGTATCTATCCCTTGCTCTGCAGGTCTTTACAATACACGTCGTCCTCCGTTTCGTGAATCGCCTCGTTCTCTTCTCGTACAAACGTACGTTTTCGACCTATACGTATTAGCTCGGGGTACCGAAAACCTAGTTCCTACAAATTGGTGAGCCCTCATTTAATTTTATTTAAGTTAGAAAAATGTTTTTCAGGGGAATTCTAATTTCTTTAGGTCACGTTTGTGCTAAATTGTCCGCGTATTTTGTTCCACGGAACCACTCTCCTGCGTATAATTTTAGATTATAGTTATCCCCAGTTCACGGTTTTATCATCATTTATGATTGGAGTTTTTGTCCACTTTCGTTTTTCCAACGTAGTTTGTATTTTAGGTGATATTCGGTAATATTTCTTAGCCCGTTCGAAAATCGCATATCATATATGATAAGCCCCGATCATAAGCACTCCACAGACAGTGAAGCAATCTGGGCCCAAATCAGGGCTCCTGAGTTCGTGCTGGAGGATCGGGAAGCGTTCCTCGCACTTCTGGAATTGCGATTCCATAAAGCTCGTATCACCGGGCAACTGTCCCGTTATCATACGGTTCCGGGACCATTGGGCGCCAGCCTCGAACCCGACAGTAACCGTAGTAATCGGAATAGTATTGAATTTATGAATACGAGAATCTGTACTGTACTGCTCAGAACTAAATTGGCTCCAACTCGAACTGCAGATACCAATGAAATACACGAGGAATTGATAACAACAAATGCTTATGTTTATTGATAGAATTAGAGCATGTTTATAGAAGCTCATGGCTCATATGATTGGTCGTCCAATTACTTAACCGTTTGCACTGACACATCATATGTACTAGCTCGGATTTCACGTTCACCTAGTGTACCATTGGTCGAGCTTCCTGAACGGTAATTGGATGACATGAAACTGAACCTAGTCGTGCATGGATTGCGGTCACGGAAGTCTGGATCACTACAGTCACTTCAAGACTTCAAGACTTGTCCGTGATCCCGCGCGACATGCTTATCAACTTCTGGGATATTTGCATGAATATCCCTGCGCACAACCCGAAGAACGTGCTCAAAGAAGCACTCCTTCATCGTATGGCAGTTTCCGAAGAGAAACGCATCCAGCCCCTCCTGTCAGGGATCCAATTGGCAAACCTCAACCCGTCCCAGTTGTTGCGTCAAATGCATGCGTTAGTCGGCAACACCACACTCGACGACTCCGTACTACGTCAGATTTGGCTTCAACGGCTTCCGCAATAGGTCCAAAGTATTCTGAATGTTTTTGCACACGCACATAGTCTAGACGAACTAGCAGAGGCTGCTGACCGAGCAATGGAGCAGGCTCAACTTTTCCAGCCATCTTTGGCAAAAATCGGGAGCCCGGAGCCAAACTTCGTCCATTAGTCGCTCCCCAACCCTACTCCCGGTAAGCCTCTGCACGAGCCCACGACAGAAGTGCAGCTATTGTCT